TGAACAATTAGACTTATTAAAGACTTCGTTGACCAACTTGCCATGTTTTGTTGCTATTGCCACGGGATGCTGAAAATTTGTTTGAATAATACCGTTTCTTGGCCAATTTTAGTAATTTAGTTAACAAGTTTCTGTAGGTTTTATATTTATTTAACAAATTAATATCAGTTGGTTTGTTTTTCAATTTGCCAAATAATTTATGTTTGGTTTTGACCGATTTAAGGAGACCTTGGGATAGCCAGGGTTTTCGAGGAGATTTAGATTTAACGTCAGGACCATCAAAAATTGTCTTTGGCTTAATATAAAACAACAAGTAGTGATGACGTGAGTATTTTTGTTTAAATATATATATATTCGTAATGATTTATTATGAACAAGTTCCTTTGTTTATCTCAGATACAACAGTGTGCAGCATGTGCTGGTCATACATGTATGATCCTGCGCACACTTTATCATATCAACTGATATGTCGGTTTCTCCCATTCATTTCGGCGGCGATGTGGGTATAAAAATACGAAGAGCAACTGCACGCCATACCCCTTTATGAGTTAAACCAGTGTTTATTTTGATCATTTCAAGTAGTACACACTTCTCTAACCTTAACATGTTTTAGTAGGGTATAAGGTAACACTATAATATACTCTGGTGGCCTGGTGTCAAGGATGGTGTTGAAATCACTCTTCCATTTAACAGTTTATTTTTAAAGCCGTGGTTAAATGGTCTTAAACTCTAAGCTCCACCTCTTTTGTGGTCAAACATTAAGTCATGCTCAGTGGTTATGTTACCATGTGTTCCATATAACTAACTGCTCATGCAAACTATAAGATCCACTAGTTGATAGTTTATAGGTTTCACACCACAATTAGCTATTCATGCATGAAGCCACATAGACACACTTGAATAAAATTGCTGTTATTTCTTCTTGCTTGCATTTTCATTTTTTTTTTTGATCCCTGTTTGAATGAAGTTCATCCATCAGTCCCGGGTCGTATTTGAGAACCTTCTGAATTGAATTCATTCATTCCTTGCATGTGCTTAGTACTTTATGTGGGACATATGCACATGCAGTAGTTTTGTGAATGGCAGCCATTTTGTTTTTTAAAAATGTGTTATCTTGGACATGCTTTGTCAGTTTTTGTTCAAGTTTACTACATACATTATACGTGTTAGGTTACATGTCTGTGATGATTTGTTTCATGATCAGATCAAAGATGGCACACTCACCGTCTTCTAGTTTTTTTGAAAATGTATTATACTTGTACTATACATGTTAGGATACATCACAATTTGTTTTATAATTTTATCATAAATGATCAACTGGCAGTAATTTCCTATTTTTGCCATACTACTATATCGCTTTCACCTATGTATTGTTTTCATTGATATTTAGCATATATCATGAATGGATACATGTTCATTTTGTGATTTGATTAAAGATGGCGATCATCTTCGTTTTTGGCCATACATTTCTCTGATAGCTGTGTACAGTCTCATATTTTTGTCGCATACATACATGTACAAACCAATTTTTACTTGTAGGAATATATTGAATGTTCATAGTCAAAAAATCAAAATAATAAAAAAATTAATAAATATAAAAGAAAATGTACATACCATAGATCATTTAGGATAACATGAGTGAGTCTGGCTGCAAATAAATTCATAAATGGCAAGATTTCTTCCTGATATGCATATTAGCTCTTACAACTATGGGTATGAGTAAACTGTAACTGAAACAGTTGTATATTATCTGACATACAATTGTATGTTAGTTATTTAGTACATGTTCATACTATTCTTGTACTTTTTATGAATAGAGACTGTTTTGTTCACAGATGTATAATATTTCACAGTTTGAAACTGATGTTGCTCTTTTCTTTTATTCCTAGTTGAGATGTTTAAATGTGCCTGTGCCGGAACAGGATGTCCCCATGACAACGATACGTTCTGTGAGACATCTATGAAATGTTATGCATCAATAGAAAAAGAATTGGAATATGATGAAGTCACCAAAAAAAAGGTGAGAAACGTATCCTGATGCATCCTGTTTGTTGGATCCCTTGTGATGTTCACAGAATATGTAAAATCTGTTTAATGAGAGAACTGATTCTCTAATTCAAGATGTCGCTAATGACTTTATTATAAATTCAAAATGGCCAAGGTATGGGGATTTGTATACAGTAATCTGGAACATAAAAATCTGGGCGCTTCCTTATTACATTTGACAGTTTTTCTTTGTTTTTATGGAGGTGATAACTGCACATTTGTTTTGGCACGTGACAGACAAGTATTGTGAAAACAGGAAATCAACAATGGCAAGAGAGATTCGCTAAATAAACATTTCGCTATTACGTCATTTTACCACAATTTGCTAAAATTGCATGTCGCTTTTTCAACATGTTTTACAGTATTAAACGCTCAAAGTAACCATTATCACTGTGAATATTCTTCTTTTAATGCAGGGTTGTGTTGATGGGAAGCCGAAAAACAAAGTTATAACAACAAAAATGACATGTGACATATCACATGAAGGTCGTGCCATTGTCTTGTGTTGTACAGGTGATTTTTGTAATGAACATCTATCACCAACGTTACCTCCTCCACCACCTGAACCAGAAGTTGGTAAGTTTATTTTATATTCAGAGTAATTTGCTTTATTAGAATTGCATGTATTTACATCAGACTGAACAATCTGGTTAAACCCTCTGAGTGCAATCATTTTTCCTTGTCAGCAATTGTTTTTTTGGATAGAATGGACAAAACATTTCTTCTGTCAACTATTTTTGAATTTTTAGCAGATTTGGTATTGCACACAATCACTAGGTTTTAGATTTCACTGGTTTTTGAAGTAATCAGTGTATTGTCTTTAACTGCTGGTTCACTTGACTTTATTTTAGCGCATTTAGATGTAAGCAAAAATGAAAATAAAACCTAACTAATAATTAAGCTCTACACAGAGCTGCTACGAATAATTACAGTGCTTGTATTATTGTATCTATGTGTGCCACTGCTGTCATTCTCACCATAGAGGGCATACTTTACACTGAAGTTATGTTACCAATAAATGGAGTCGATATCTTGCCCCAGAAACACACACAAACCTGTTGCATATATTCCTCCATAAAAGTCAAGCACAATTTATTTATTTATTTATTTGTTTGTTTGTTTATTTATCTCACTGTACTAGTCATGTATGTATAAACCTTTTCACCACCAGTTCCCTCTATTCAGTAAATATTCACGAAATAGTCCTGTTTATAGTCTGCAGAAAATTGGGACAAAAATACTAGTAACCAAAAAGTTAAAACTGACTCTTTTCTTAAAACTGATTCTTTATTAGAAATATTAAATCCTGAAAGTCTTGTGCCTTATGAAACAAAAGTGGTAAAAAAAAAAATCTATTGATAATAACAAATCTTGGTATTGTTTTTGCATTTCAGATGGACCAGCGGATTATACCTACACATATAATGTTAGTTCTCTGCTTATATCAATCATCGTACCAATTGCTGCTATGATATTTTGTACTATCATAGCCGTCATCATATTTAAAAAACTACATAAGCAAAGAATGAGAGAGCTTAATGCACGAGATCCAGAACGTCATCAAATCAACGGTCTAACAGCTGTGGCAGCCCAGGATGATACGTTACAGGTATGTGTGGTTTATTTGTCGTTTTTGTGTTATTCCCTGTATTAGTGTGGGTTATGAGCTCAAAGAGCTTCTGAACAAATTAAGTAATTTTCACTGATAGCTTAGTGGTTGCTGCATCATGATCGGTACACCCAAGTTCAAATCCTAACTTAGGTTGAACACCGAAAAAGGTCTAGCCCTACCCTGGGTGAGTGTGCCACAGATATAATGAGAGTTTCATTCACTATCGAATTGCCATTTGATAGGGAAATGGCCTCATAGCCCTGTCATGTTATATGACTTCTGTGGTAAAAGTGCACTACGTGTCAGCACTGTCACTTGAAATTTTCACATTAAAAAGCAACACATTTTATAAAAAAAAAAATAAGTAATTTTGTGATCCATTTTAAATTGGAAAAGGTTTGAATTTAGAGGGCAAAAATAAGTCAGATGGTTCCCTGGGTCTCGCAACATATTCAATGGTCATTAATGTCTACTTGCATCCACTGTCCTTAGACACAGGCTTTCATGACTGTCATAACTTTCTCAAATTGTAAAAATTGCTAGCAGCGAAAATTAATCGGTTTACAGTATCAGTACATTCAGTACTCTTCCATAATGTGTGGTATGTATTCCAGTCATGCACAATTTTACTTTTACTTCCTTAACACTGCAGTTAGTAAGAATTTACACCCAGACCTAATTTTGATGTGTAACCCTTGATTGTCAAAGCAAACCATTATTAGCTTTCACAAAATAAGCTGTATATATATATATATATATATATATATATATATATATATATTTTTTTTTTCCATAATTTATCAAAAATGGTCATTAAGAGCTGTTACTAACAGGAAATTGTTTCTATTTATTCCTAAATTAACAAAGAAATTGTAAAATAAAAAGGGTATGAAAATGAAGTATCAAAGTTGTGTGAAAATAAATTTAAGGTAAAGAGATTAGAACCTTGGCTAATCAAATCATTTCAAGGATAATATGTGATTATTACTGTTTGAAGTTCATTTTCAATGTCAACTGTGTTAAATCATTACCAGACATCTGATGGCGTAATTGCATTCATGCATTTATTCACTTGTGTCGTCAAAAGGTAAAACCCGAATTTTCAATGAATAGCGCCCTCTATGAGTGGTACTGTAAACTTTTGTTTTTAGTGATATTTGAAGTACATGTACTATTAAACCATTTAATTTCACTATTTTGATGTTGTAAGCATATTCACTGTATTTTAATTTCCTGAATTTTTCAGGGAAAAATTGTTATTTAATTTAGCTGATTTTACTTACATTTATCAGCGAAAATAACGAAATTAAAACCCAGTGAATAATTAATGCATTTACAGTACTTGAATGTCGAGCACACATTGTTTATTTTAAAAGTATTCTTTATGTTGTATTTTCTGTAGGAAATGTTGGATCACTCGTGTACATCAGGAAGTGGATCTGGTTTGCCTTTCTTAGTTCAGAGAACTGTTGCCAGACAAATTACCCTATTTGACAAAGTTGGTAAGTCTTTATTTCCGATATTGAGTAAATAAAATTGATTTCAATGGCATTTTAATGTTTATTAATCTTTTCAATGCCAAAGTCACCTTCAGGCACCATCCCAAAAATAGTTCCGGCTATTGTTTGCTCTTTTCCACATGAAATGTGAAATTTTTTTATCAGAAACTAAAATACTAGAATACAATAATAATAGAACTATTTTGTTGAAAACTTGCTGCAGAAACAGTCCTTCAAGTGCTGATTAATTGAAAACATACGTATACCATATTTACCCTATTAGAAGCGCATCGGATTATGTAAATAAAAGGAGACTATGGTTGTAATAAGTCGTATTACAGTGGTCAGAATTTATGTACATTTCTGTTTGAGGTGCATTTTAGATGAGCAAATATTTTGACATGATAATAACAATGGATAAAAACTATTACATTTGTACTTCTATTAACTGATATTCTTGTGTTTGATTCCAGGGAAAGGACGATATGGCGAAGTATGGCGTGGACTCTATCACGGGGAAAATATCGCAGTGAAAATATTCAGCACAAGGGATGAGAAATCATGGTTCCGTGAAACACAGATTTACAACACAGTGTTGCTGCGCCATGACAACATCCTGGGATTTATAGCGTCTGATATGTGTTCACGGCATTCATGTACCCAGTTATGGTTGATTGCACATTATCACGAGCATGGTTCACTCTATGACTATTTGAATCGCAACACCATTGATGTGGATGTGATGCTGCAGTTCATGCTCTCGGCTGTCAGTGGACTAGTGCACTTGCATACGGAAATTTTCGGAACGCAAGGAAAACCGGCAATTGCCCACAGAGATATTAAGTCGAAAAACATTCTAGTGAAGAAAAACCTGCAGTGCGCCATTGCCGATTTGGGTCTCTCAGTGATGCACTCGCAGAAAAATGACACAATAGACATGGGTTCAAATACTAGGGTGGGGACAAAACGATACATGGCACCTGAGCTTTTAGATGAGACCATGAATCCTGACTGTTTTGATTCTTTTAAACGAGTTGATGTTTACACGTTTGGACTTGTCCTCTGGGAGATCGCCACGAGATGTGTAGTTGGAGGTAAGTAGACACATAAATTTTGCAATTGTGGTACATATATAAGAATATATTTTAGCAATTTTAGCAGATATTGTAAATTGAGTCGTTTGTGAAGAAAACATTGCACTCTATTGTTAACTTAGCATATTCACTGGGGTTTTAATTTAGCGTTTTTAACTATGAAAAAAAAATGAAATGTAGCAAATGATAAAGCCTTATAAAGTTTGTCTCTTCTTGTAAAATATTTGTATTGTTAACTGGTGTTCAGTCACAGCATTGCTATCGATCTAGAAATGTGTGTCAACACTTGTGATCAATTCAGCATGCGATATTGATCTCAACCAGAAACTAGATCAATATTACAACAAAAAAACATGTGTATGATACTCATTGCATGGTTACTAGCTTTGCTGTCATTAAAGATGACAGAGCGGAGCTGCTCGTATAGGTGATTGTGATTTTTGATTTTTTTTTGAAAACAACCAGCTAAAATTGCTTTGATACTTGGCTTGTTTACCTTGGGTGAACTTCTGTCAGATTTGTTCATGTTGTGACAAAATCTTTAATTCTCAATTTTAAGTGATGTTACAGCATGCCAAAATTGTGTGGCATTAAACAGGGTGTTTGTAATGTACCTTATTAGAAAATGTAAATTCCAAATATATAGTTAACCTTTTGGAAAATTAAGTTCATGGCAAGAAAGTTTCCAAAATTGTCGCTATGACTCTAGGCTGCGTACAACAAGTAATTGGTTTGGGAAAATGTATAATAATATAGTTATGCAATGATACTGCAAAGTATGCACTCAGATTGCATCGACGTCAGCTATGGGTCAGTTGATACTCCCACTGTACTGTTTTTGTGCATACTTTTCTGTATCTCATAATACAGTGAAGTTTGATTTAAACTTAATAGGAAATGAAAATTCAGATATTTCAAACCATAGTTCCAAAACTCTGATAAAGCTTTATGAATGCTCTCAGAGTGCAACTTTAATGTACTGTTAAATGCTAACTTACATGTGTCTCAGTTATTAGCAATGTGCTTCTAATGTGAGTAATATGAGTAATGCAGTGGAGCAATACACTTTTCAAACCAAACTACTACATTAGCTAGTCATACAATCCAACTTTATCCAGCAGACTTTCGCTGAACAACTCAATTTTGAAGAAAATGTTTTTCTACATGCCAGTATTTCTTCATACAAGCTTCACAGGACGTAATTGTTATTGTAGAAAATTATTAATTTTTTGTAAAATTCCACTTTTTAGGAATTGCCGAGGATTACAAACCTCCATATCATGATTTGGTGCCTCACGATCCAAGCTTTGAAGATATGAGAAAAGTTGTTTGTGATGCACAACTCAGACCTTCAATACCAAATAGGTGGTCAACTGACCCAGTAAGTTATATACTATAATTTGTTCATTTCATTCTAACATGGGATTTTCCAAATTTTCACAACATTCAGCAAGAATGATTGCCATCTTTAACAGGTTTCAACTTAGTTAGTGTTCATCACATAGCGTTTCAAAGACTGAGTCGAAGATATATCAAGATCAGTGATCCATATTGTATACAATTCTGAAAAATGGAAGTGGGGTACTTTATAACCATAATAATCAAGTCACCTCAATTTTGCTTGCTGTTTTTGACAAAGACTACTGATCTGATTCATTGAGAAACATTTTGATCTTTGAATATTGCTTATTGAATATTAATATTGAATATCACTTAATGAACCCCTTATGACTGACTTTTCTATGGTGTTTTTACCTGCTCTGTTTACAGACTCTTATGGCTGTGGCTAAGCTAATGAGGGAATGTTGGTTTCAAAACAGTTCAGCAAGACTAACAACACTACGTATCAAGAAAACCCTCATGAAGATTGGAGAAAGCAGCAAGAAAATCAAACCAGATTACTGATCAGTTCGTAGAGAATGAATATAGGATCAAGATGGTGTCAAGTTTGAGATCCTGTGCTCCGCTTGGTGTCTCATACTGTCTCATTTTAATCCCGTTACAATGCCTAACTCTTGTACGGCTTGAAGTAGTCTTCTACTCATCTTTTTTTAATGATATTTATCTCGGTACCAGGGTCAATACAAGGTTAAACTCTGTACCAGCAAGCAGACATGGTCTTAAATACTAAACTCTGTACCAGTGCCTAAACAAGGTCTGAGAATCCAGACTCTACTCCGTATCCAGACAAGGTTAAACTCTGTACCAGGAAGCTGACTATCTTAAACGGCAAACTCTATACCAGTACATAAACAAGATCTGAGATGCCAAACTCTATACCAAGTTCAGGGCAAGATTGAATGATGGGAAACTCTGTACCCAGGGTCCAGGCAAGGTTGAACTCTGTACCAGGAAGCAAACATGGTCTTAAATACCCAAATTTTCTACCAGTTCCTAAACACAGTCTGAGAAGCCAAACTCTGTACCCAGGGTCCAGGTGTGGTCTGATGATGTAAAAATCTTTTCAGACAAGGTTAAACACTGAACCAGATTCTAAGTCAAAACAAAGATAAATCCTAACTAACGTAGGGTAAACTTTGTTATGTTTATTTGCAGATTCTTGTGACTTGCATCTGAGATGTTAGCACAGTCCATGCAACTCATCCAGATTGTCCACTTCTGTAATATGCTTGACTGGAACTGTATTGTCTAACTTTGCTGTCCAAATGTTTCAACACGCCTCACACAATGCCTTACTCCTTACAAAACAACATGATCTAATCCTGTTAAACAATGCTCAACTGTGATGATAATTCCATCACTGTCTTTTCTAACTCTGATGACGTTGCCAGGTTGTGATTGGTCAACTGTTTGAGTACTTAAAGTTGATTGGCTTATGAGTTGTCACATGTTGTTGAAACATTGCTACTCTAAATATACAAACAATGCAAAATTTATAATATCACTAATTGTATACAAATTACAAACCTTGCCATAAATATAAAAAAAGTCAACTTTATTACTGTCCTTGTAAAATATATTGCATTTTTATACTCATGATGAAAATGTTTTCAAATTTGATAAAAACATTTTTTACATTTGTTATCACAACTTTTGTTCTTCTGAGCTGAGGGTGTCATTTGGGATTGCTCTGATACTTGAATTTCAATAACATTTTGTTGTCGCACTATTTCTGATGATTTTCATTCAAATGTTACAATTCTAATTACCAAGCAATTTACTGTTGGTGTTGCAAAAAATGTACTCAAAAATAACACCATTTCCCTATTGGTGTCTTGTGCATAATTGAATTGTTCCTGAGATCATTGCTGTCATTGTTTCATTTGGTAAATTCAATTGCGAGATTCAGATGTTCTTCGACATGAGGAGCCATTTTTGGGAGCTGGCCTTGCATACGAGTCAGTATGCACATGCAAGTTCCCATGGTAATGTACTGAATTCATGGAGACAGCCGATTAGTGATGCCACAGAATTCTGTGCCGTAAATGTATTTACATGATGATTCTTATGACCATTCTTGAGTGCACTACGACTGGTACTCTGAATGGCTGGATTCCAGGCTAATAACTTTTAGACAGTTGTATCAATTTTGGTCTCGAACTTCAAACTTGGCTGTGTATGCAAGATGAGATGCTGTTTCAATTTGTTCTGTCCTCAGATTGAAGTTGTTACTTTCCGTGGGTTGATAGCAAAGAGAAATGTTTACAAAGGAAACCTGATGTGATAAGTGATAATGTTTTACCAGCATATTTTCAGGGTGTCAGCTGTAACTTTAGGCTTGTTTTGCTAACCTGAGTCCCAGTCTTTTTTTTTTTTTTATTTCTGATTACTGATTCTAATTTTCAGATATTGTACTTATGAAATGTGATTGAAATGATTTATTTTGCCATTTTTTTTATAATGTCCATTTATTCTCAGTCGTGGTGCAATGTTACGTTGACGAATTGCAAAAACTCTGCATTTCAGCTTTTATCCTGTCTACTTTGAATTTCTGAGTCTACCATAGTCTCTCCTCACAAAAAAATGTACTATTTTCCAATGTAATACAGGTTCCAGGGCCACTTTTATTTATTCACCGTGATAATCAACATGAATATATAATTATATATAGATATATATATATATTGTCATGTGATAATGTTTGAACACATGGCATATTTTTTTTCTTCTTTTTAGAACAGAAATTTGAAAATGTACTTTTAATTTATTAGTTTTCAGAAGTTTCTGAAGAGCAGAGTTAGCAAGGAACTTACCAAGAATTTATTTTTATATTTAAATAATTTCAATATTTTATCCAGGCCTGCTTTCTTAAATTGCAAACGAAAAATATGATTTGTTTCCAGGCTGCCAATATGGAATTTTTTAATTTTCATTAATTTTCGAGGTGCATTATCCTCAGGGGCGGACATCCGGGCATTTTCTACCGCTTGGCAACCCTCGCGGTGAAAACAAAGACCAAAAACTCGCAGAAAACGGTACTTTGTGATGGTTGTTGATAGTTCCTTGAACAGTGTAACAAGATTAGCCCTACGTGTGTAACATATATAAATTTGGTTGTTCAGGATTACTTCAAAAATGAGTTTGTGTTGTTTTCTCGAGTTTTCACTGGCTCCACCGGCGTTCCACAGCAGCGCGCACAAAGCCCATAGAAATACGTGTTACAGTGGTGCGCGTCTTAGCAACGTAGAACGTCCGTGACGTAGCTCTGCCCCAGAGGATATCACTACTTATTAACTACACCTAAAACGAAAATGTACTCATGGAAGAGAAGCTACAAAATTGTCTATGATTGTCGGGTTGCACAGTCCTATGGTTGTAGCATTGATAAATATTTTGGTTTCTTCGATTTGATTTTTTTTTCAGTGCAATTCGACAAAATCTTTCTACTGGTAGTTTTAATTTTGTGTGTGTGTGTTTGTTTATACACGTTTCTCAGTACTGTAAAATACTTTATTTTAGCTGGAATTAATTTTCACTGAAATGACTTTTTGGGTGTTTTGTATGGAATTTATTTCACTGATTTTTGACAAGTTGAATGTAAAATATAGGAAAAAAGGTATATTTGCTGGATTTTATTTTCACTGAATCAACCCTTCAGTGAAAATAGCGAAAATTAATTCCAAGCGAAAACAAAGTATTTTACAGTATTTAGAATGTCTTGTGATAGTGGCAACTCGTATGGATTGCTTGCAGTATACTTGTTTAAGTTTAAAATGTATGCACCCCAAACAGAAAATACAACATTGACTGTTTTAACATAGCACCATGCTGCTGCACTTTCATTTTCAAATTTTGCATTGAGAGTAAATCAGCGCAAATAAGATTGCTGAAGAAATTTACATAATTAATACCATGATTGCATTGATTAATCGCTGTTATGGATGTACATTTATTTTCATGTTCTTTAAGCCTTCAGAAAACACATAAATTAATTGTTGGCTAACTTTGAAAGATGTGTTATAAAAGAAAATAATTGTAAATAAATTTTAAAAATCTGATCCAGTGCATTCACAGAAAACTGCAAAGATTGGATGATGCTGCAATTAATTACCGAAAAACCTGATTAGTCAAACTGCACATGACCAGCAATTAAAGAAACTTACACAAGTCATGCGAAAAACACAATTACTGGGAAGCATCCTGATTGTTTGCTGATTCAGAGTGCCTGAATAAGAATATTTCTGTTTGTTCTTGGACTGTTGGTCTCATGCTCCTCCTTACTGGGTATGGGAGATTGCACATAATTAAATTGTTCTGTAAGTTCTAAATATTTATGTCAAACATGCTGAAGATACAGTAGACACCCAATTACAATGTTGTTCTTAACTTCAGTTTTATGACTCAAAACAGACGTCCAAATTTACTTAAATTCAATTGTATTCTAGAAGACTCCACTTGTTTTAATAATTCAATATGAAAGAGGGAATAAGACAAGGGTTTGAAGTTATAAATTGAATCGCCCAAGTCTGTGGAGACTGAATTTTTATTAAATTTGATTTTTTTTTCACTTTTGTGGTTTATTGCAAATACACTGAAGTATTTTTGTAGATAATGTGATATATAATAGTGACAAATTTGTTTATAATAAAATATATGAAAAACTAAAAAAAAAAAAGTGTTGTGTTTTATTACCTTGCCCGTACTATCAAAGATGGAAGGGAAAGGTATATTAAGGGAAAAAAATTGTACGGTGTTGTTGCGTCGTCGTCGTCGTTGTTAATAATTGTTATTGTGTGTATAATAACTTTACTTATTCTATTCCAAACTTCATCAAACTTGGTCACCTTATTCATCAGTATAAAGTCTTCCCTGAGTTTGAACAACAGATGTCCTGTATGAAAATATCATGCAAAAATTGAGAAAATCCGATGAAATATTTTGACTGTTTCTACTTGACTGATCACTGGTGATACGCATCAAAGGTCATGATCTCAGTGGAAATATGCATTGTTGTATGTGTTCAATGAAGCAAATCATTTATCTTGTAATAATATCCTTGGTAATGTATCTCCCAAATCGCATGGGGATACTAGACTGGGTTTCAAAACCAACTCATGGAGAGAGTTCTCGCACTGTCTGATACGCATTTGCAAACCTACCAATAATATCTTAACAGAAAACAAGATGTCAGAAAATCAATATAAGCACTCCTATGAACTGGGTGCCAAACTTTGATCAAGATCTGAAGCTAATAGAAAATCTGTTTCAAATCAAAAACAATACATAAAAAATACATAAAAAGCAAAACGTTGCATTCACATTTTGAAAAGAAAATTGTACTAAAATATATGTATTCTGTATTTGACACAGTTCATTCGACAAATGAAAATTCACAGAAATTTGTTTCAGCTATTATAACAGAATGATAGAGTTTTTATAATACTAATTTAAAAACGCACTTCAAAAACAAAGATTACAGTGTTTGAAGATATGAATTCTCAGGA